ATGTTGCTGCTGATCTGTTTCATGTTGCTGCTGATCTGTTTCATGTTACTACTGGTCTGTTTCAATGTTGCTGCTGATCTGTTTCATGTTGCTGCTGATCTGTTTCAATGTTGTGTTGACCTGTTTCATGTTGCTGCTGATCTGTTTCATGTTGCTACTGGTCTGTTTCATGTTGCTGCTGATCTGTTTCATGTTGCTACTGATCTGTTTCATGTTGCTACTGATCTGTTTCATGTTGCTGCTGATCTGTTTCTTGTTGCTGATGATCTGTTTCATGTTACTACTGGTCTGTTTCATGTTGCTGCTGATCTGTTTCATGTTGCTGCTGATCTGTTTCAATGTTGATGTGTTCATGCGTGCTCATCTGCTTACACGGACTCGTGTTCAAGTTTCTGCTGATGTTCGACGTAATGTTTATATGCTATTAGTGCTTAGTGTATATTTAGTTGATGTTTTTCTTAGTTCATATCTTAGATGTTATTACTGTTTTTCTTTTACATTTTATTGTTGGATGTAACTGGGACCCTGTGTACATAATTTCGCTCCACCACATGAACCACATGAGGTGCGAATGACCATAAAGTATCTCTGACTCTGACAATAGTCTTTCTATAGTCTTTCAACAGTCTTTCAATAGTCTTTCAATAGTCTTTCAACAGTCTTTCAACAGTCTTTCAACAGTCTTTCAATAGTCTTTCAACAGTCTTTCAACAGTCTTTCAACAGTCTTTCAATAAGGCCATGGGTGGTGTGTATCTTCTGGCTGACTCTCTGTGGTGGAATCCATTTTGGGTGTGTTAGTGGTGCTGCGGGTGCGCCCAGCTCAGTGACGTGTATATACTAGACCAGCTCTTCTTGAAGGCAGGTCTGTTATCTGACCATTTTGCAGTGATTCAATGGACCAACTCCCCTCTCGCCATTGATTACTTTCAAACTAACAAACAAATCAAAAAGCTACAACGTGAATGTAACTTGTAACTCAACGCATTATAGAAATGTAGTCTAGTAGGAAGTACAGATACTTCATGTAAAATGTAGTGAAGTAAAAGTCGAAAGTACCCACGTTGAACTCTACTTAAGTAAAGTACAGATACATGAAAAATGTACTTAAGTACAGTAATGAAGTACTTGTACTTAGTTACATCCCACCACTGCTTCCCACAGACCAAAAACATGCATGTTAGGCTGATTGGTAACTCTAAATTGCCCCTAGGTGAGAGAGAGAGTGAATGGTTGTTTGTCTATGTGTCCCTGTGATGGACTGGAGACATGTCCAGGGTGTCCCTCGCCTCTCACACAGTGATAGCTGGACATAGGCAGCAGTGATCCCTGTGACCTGAAAAGAAAGAAGCAGGTAAAGATAATGGATGGATGGTTCAAGCACTATACTCCCATGCCAAGATGTAGCTACACAACAAAACGACTCACTCACTGTATTTCAGCACAAGAAGCTTATTCTGATTCTGAAAGTCGGTACTTTACTTACTTTTCAAATTATGCTCAACATGCACGGACACACGGTTGAGTATAGAGTACTCCTAATTTCCGCTCTTATCTCTACGACGGGGAAAAAATGACGTGACTAAAATTTTAGGGTACCTCACTAAAATATAACAATGGCGAAATTGTGTGATCCCAAAATGCTGCGCCACAAAACGCAAAACTAAATTAAAATGACTGCATTTTACAGCAACTTTGACCATGAAAACAAAATATTCTTCAGGAGATTAACAAAATGTACATTTTGTTATTAAAGGTACCTAAAAAAAAAAAGCTTCAGCTGCGTGATTAACTTCATCCTAAATACCCATGGTGCAATGTAAAACCGAGTAATCTTAGGCCCTGTACACACGTAGCCTGGTGTTTGAAAAAACGAATATCCGCGCAAAAAAATATCGCCGTACATACATGTTCGGATAGAGAAAATGATCGTCTACATGAACCCGGTGATGTTCACCACAGAGCGTTGTAAAGAATATGCCCAACCCATAGGAGGCAGTGTAGTGCAAAGGTGAAACGTATATCAGCCAATCACAACCCTTCAAAGCAACCACAACTTCCTGTTAGTATTGAATCATGGCGCCTGGAGGTTCGTTTGTGTGGACAGACCGCGAGGTTGAACTACTATTAAATACCGTGTTGGAGTACAAAGTTAATAAAACTCAGGAAAATGTCGACTGGGAATCCTGTCAGAACAAGTATGTTGATATTTTAGCGCTTTTTTTAGAGCATTACCCAACGGAGTCCTCCGACGAGTTTCCCCATTCACATGCCGACATCACGCGCGGGAATTTAACAACAAAAATGAAAGCAGTCCGAGGTAAATATCGCCATGCTGTTGATACAGGACGCAGGAGTGGACACGGTCGAGTGGTTCTTCTGTACTTCGAACTGTGCGAACAAATCTGGGGTGGCTCTCCAGCTAGTACTACCATATCCTCCGGTAGTGAAACAGCTGACCTGGATCATTCTCGGACCCTACCCTCACCATCCACATCTTCTTCCTCCACTACCATGGATGTAGCAGACACAGGGTCTGATAATGAAAGCAGTGTGGGTCCTACTTCAAAGGAGAGGAGAGACCTGCTTGATGTACGTATATTTTTCTGTCCATTCCTCATAAATAAAAGTACTTTTGCTGTAAATGTTCATCTGTTGGATGTACTATAATTCACGGAACAGGTTTGTTGAATTGTGTTGCTATTAAAAATACAGTTAAGGCAATATGTGTGTTAAAAATTATGCAAGAGTTGAGGTGTGTAGTGGAGGCTGGAATGTGATGTTTTTTATATTTTACTGTGTACGGGTTGCTGATTTATTTTTATTATTATTGCAAAAAAGAAATGACACCATCATGCTCTTACTCATCTCATATTATGTTAGGCCTACATATTCATTAGTTTGATGGGGTGGTGGGTACAAAATACACTTTAAGACATATAGCAAACATTGGATACGCTGTTATTACATATTGTTATGTAGAAGTGATGTGAAAAGTACAACATCAACATGATCCAGGTTTACTTTTTTATGTTTAATTGTGATGATTTTCATTTCTCTTTTGAAGGCAAAACTAAAAGGACACAGACACGACCGTCTGAGGAGAAAGCTGCCTGCTGAGACCCAGTGGCTGAATGCTCTTGAGGAAGACCAGCGTGTGAAAAAGAGACTGGTGGAAATCATTGAGACATCAGAACAAAAAGCATCCGAAAACTATTCAAAAATGTCCAATACACTGGAAAGACTTACCACATCGATTGTTGATGGGTTTTCTCTTCTGAAACAGGTCATTCATGCACCTGCACAACCACCACACTACATGCCATATGAGCCAAGAGGTCCGATGTATTCGCACACAATGGCCCACCATTCTGTCCACCAAAACTCAGCAAATTACCCATACCCAAACAACTCCACTTCTGACAGAACACGTCAAAACACAAGACCAGGAAACACTATGAACACTGAAGCTGTGTTCCACACACCTGCTGAAGCCACTGACCAATTTTCATTCAGTCAGGCCCTTTTTAGTGACCAGTAGAGTACTGTTTTATACATCGAAACAAGTCTGGTACAGTTAAGTATATACAAGTTCCACTTTTGCACAAGGTTGCACACATGTCAGGTTGTTAATCACAGTGTTATTTACTCTGACAGTGTTTTTTTTTTCTGTTTGCTATCTTTTTATACATACTGTGAAAAGCTTAAAATGTAGCAATTGCACAATACTTTAACTATTTACATTTTTGTTACGTGAATCTTTATAAGAGTGGTGATCTAGTCCAGTCCTTGGGAGCTACTGCTACTTAGATGTATTTATTTCTCCAAAACACCACTATCAAATACATACTGATGATTGAAATCAGCTATTTCATACTGGTTTGTTGAAGAAAATGCAGCTGAAATGTACCTGTGGTAGCTCCCAAGTTATGGACTTGGGCATCACTGATTTAAAAGTGTACAGTAACTGTGCTGCTTTTCTCCCATGTTTAAAAAGCTTTATCTGTTGTAGATCTGTTATAATCTGATCTGTTCATAAATGAAACACAAAATAAGAACATGTTAAGTGTGTTCGTTTGAATAAATTGACAAACATTTTAAAAGCAAGTTTCTTTATGTGAATTTTTGTGAATATGACATTTATCAGTTACAAATACAGTCATGTTCATCAGAAAGTATTGGCAGCACTATTTAATACACTACAGGTCCAATTTTAAGAGAGAAAAGTAAAATCATTTAACTTAAAAGTCTGTCTAATGAGCTACAAACTATTATATAATGTATCTAAATCCTGGGTGGTAGCTTTTCATGCATTAATAGAATGAAATGCAATAACATTGCACAAAACAATTTAAAAATTCTCTAACATACATGGTGCTAACTATAACGTTTTTTTATGAAAAAACAACGCAGTCTGCTAAATAGTTCACAGGTTTTTGTGTTTATGGATCCAGACACTGAGTGAGGACTCTCCTGACCCGCTTTCCTTCTGCTGCCAAGCTGTCTCCTCTGACCACTGGCTGTGTGTCCGGTTGATTGTTCCTGTCATGTTGAATAGCTTCAGTTATTCTGTTTTCATCCACAGTGTCTTTTGATGCCTCACAAAAATTGTGCAACACAAAACATGCATATATAACAAATGGAAGATCATTCATATTGATGTCCATGGCTCTCCTCAGGGCTCCAAATCGGGCTTTTAGTCTTCCAAATGCACATTCAATCACCATTCTAGCTCGGCACAACGAAAGTCCAAAGTACTGCTCCTGAACATTGCTTCCTCCGTTAGCATATTCTTTCATCAGGTAAGGTAGAAGTGGGTATGCAGGGTCACCCAGTATGTAAATGGGTATAGCGTCTTCGTTCTCCACAATTTGTCTTGGACAGGGGGGAATCTTCATGTTTTTCAGATTTGTGTTTATTGTGGAGTTAGCAAAAACTCTGGCATCATGCACACTCCCTGGCCATTTCACAACTACATCAATAAAGCTGTACTTGTAATCACAGGTGGCTTGTATGTTAAGAGAAAACCTCCCCTTCCTATTTAGGTACTCTGTAGAATTAGCTGATGGCTGCTTTATCTCCACATGAGTCCCATCCACAGCTCCAAGGCACTGAGGGAGACCATAAGCCTGCTCAAATCCCTCAACAAGTGCACGCACAGCAGTCTCTGTTGTTGGCATTTTTATGTAAGATGGTCCCAAGTACACAGTTATAGCCTTACACACCTCTCTAATTATGTTTGAGACTACTTGTCTTGATAAGCCAAATGCATTGGCCGTTTTACGCAGTCTTCCCTCGTCAGCCAAATAATATAGCGTGCATGCAACTTTTTTGACCACACAGACTGGAGATCGCATTACAGTACTCTTCCCTTGAATGTAAGGAAGGAGTAACTCCGAGAGCGACAGTAATGACGACCGTGACATTCTGAAGTTCTCACGCCATTCCTGTGGGAGAACAATTTCCTTCTCAAAGTTTTCCCACCAGCCAGCAGTGCGTCCAGGTCTGATCCAAAACCGGCGACGGCGACGCTGAATGGCGGTATTGTGCCTCCGTATCGGTAGGGATAGTTGCTGTAAAAGAGCTGAACGCCAAACGCTTTTTCTCCTTTGTAATTCCATCTGTTGGAGCAGTTGTGCTTGTAAAAACAAGCAAGCAAAAATTGCCTGAACCAGCGTTACAATTAGTACTTCCCTAAACGCAGTCATTTTCCCTCCGAATGAATGGGCAAACAAAAACAATTGTCGCACATGTGACGTCAGCGCCGCGCTGCACCATCTGTCGCAGACATAATGCGCATATCTCCGGTTCCGAAAGTCCACACGCAAACCCGAAAGAGGAGATTTCTCAAATCTCCACTTTGGTCGGAGTTTTTGTTATTATTCGTTTATAGTTACATCAACCGGAGTTCACGTGTGGATGAAAGGCCACACCGCATGATAAACTATTCGGTTTTCCTGATATCCGGCTACGTGTGTACAGGGCCTTAATTAAAATCTAAATTTATTGCCCGTGCATAGTCTTTTACTGCCCGATGCAGGTCGACCATATTTTGCTTATCAAGATTTTGTCCCAGCCTTAAATATAACCTTAGTGTTCTTTATCTGATAGCAAGCACGTCTCTTGAATAATATCTTGTTGCTTATGGTCAGATCTTTATGTTTTATTCCTTTTTTCCTATCCTGTCTTTCTCATCCTCAGGACAGTACACAGTAATGATGGCCCACTTCTACCTGAAGAGGAAGATTGGATATTTTGTCATCCAGACGTACATGCCGTGTTTCATGACAGTGATTCTCTCCCAGGTGTCATTTTGGCTAAATCGAGAGTCTGTTCCTGCAAGGACTGTGTTCGGTGAGTAAAGCTGCTCAGGGTTGTGACCGTCGAAGAGTAGACGACGACTCGGTCGCAGGCTCACAGAATTATAAGGGTACCTACCTAAGTAACCAGCGAGCCGTATGAACGTGCTTTGGGCAACTACTTTTTGAAAATCGTGGCATATTTTTTATGTGTGGGACTTGTGAAACTGTATTAAGCTGCATTGTCATCATCTCTGGGTTTTCCCCCACAGTTCAAAAACATGCATATTAGGCTTTCTTCAAGTTCAGACCTCCCTTGCAAAAGAGATCTGTGATCTCAATGGGTTTTGCCTGGTGAAATTAAGGAAAACAAACTTTTACCAATAGCAACCGGTCCAGGAGAGAAAGGCAGACCTTCCTCTTCCAAGGGATATGCTCTAGTTCTTCCTGGGGGACAGGACAGGTGTTCCCAGACCAGAGAGGATATCTAATTACTGTATTGAATTCTCTAAAGGGAGGCATCCTTCTCAGATGAACCACCTCAACTGACTCCTTTCTTTGCAAAGAAAAAACAGCTCTACTCCGAGCTCCACTAGAACACCATAGCTTCTTACCATATCTCTAATGTTGAACCTACCTACCTACCTACCAACCAACCAACCAACCAACCATACTCTTGATCCAAACCTCATGACCACTTGATCCAAACCTCATGACCACTTGATCCAAACCTCATGACCACAGCCGAGGGCTGGAATATAGACCAGTAAACGGAGTGCCTTGCTTTTTAACTCAACTTTCTTCACCATGACCAACTCAAGTAATGTCCTTATCACAGAGGACAAGGCCCTGATCTGTCATTCAATCTCCCACTCCATCCTACCATCTCTCGAGAATAAGACGACCAAATACCCGAACTGATCCATCTGAGGCAAAGACTCAGACGGAGGAGTATTCTAGGTTATGCACAGTATTTTGTTACCCACCAACCTCACCTATTTAGTGTACACCTTGGCAGCCTCGACACACTCGAAGTAATCTGTTTCGAGTCATTTTTGAGACAAATGCTGTTAGCACAACCAGTCGCCAACAGTCACATGATGACTTTAATCACAACCGTTAATTTCTGTTTGTTTCCCATGTCTGGATTTAGGGGTTCTTAAGACATCTAGCTTTTAGTGTTGTATGTTACTGCAAAATTAGGTATCAATAAAATACCAAGTAAATCAAGTTCAGTGTCACATATACTGATACAGTCCGTTTAGGGAAGCCTACATACTTTTGTATAGGGGAAAGAAGTGAGTCATATTTATCATCAATATGGTACATCTAAACATTTTATCATGAACATTAACTGACTTAATTTTGCATTCCACCATACATTAACCAATTATTAGTATTCTTTAACATAGAACAGATTTTAAGCAAAGTTTGTTTGCATATAAAAAGGGAAAATATTTACAGTAGCAGCACAATACCAACTTTAGTAAGGTGGTAAGGTTATCTACACTTGGGTGGTGCTGCACACCTTTACTACCTCGGCATGATGGGTGACAATTGTTTGTTTTAGTTTACTGTGCCAAAACCTTCATTTAATGTCATCCTTTGTTTTCTCACAGGTGTGACCACTGTGCTGACTATGACCACGCTCAGCATCAGTGCCAGGAATTCGCTTCCCAAAGTGGCCTATGCGACAGCCATGGATTGGTTCATTGCCGTCTGCTATGCTTTCGTCTTTTCCGCCCTCATTGAATTTGCTACAGTGAACTACTTCACCAAGAGGAGCTGGGCTTGGGACGGCAAGAAAGCTCTGGAGGCACAGCACCCCAAGGTACCCTCATAGTTATGTGTAGTACAACGCTCCAGAGCGCCTGAGATCCACTTAAATAAAGATTGTTTTCTGGTATTATAACCAACAAATACATGTACATCTTGAAAAACAGAACCAGTGGTTGTACTAGCATTTACCACTGACACCCAAGAAAACTAATTTGGAACTGGTTTTTACTAATGTTAGCAGCTGCTGTAATCATCGTAAGTAAAAACCCAACTGCTACCACGTGAGGGAAATTTAATTACACAGCAGTTCACATTTTACCTTAATGAACTGCCAGAACCGTTCCTTCTCAAAAGAACCACTAACCACCCATGACAGATTCAAAGGCATTGATTTTTTCTCACCCTGAAAATATGAATAACTGAGAAAATCCCACCGGGATAAACACCAATGCAATGTTTATTGTTTTTTTTTTGTCCTGTTGTAGAAACGAGACCCGATGGTGCTGTCCAAGAAGCCGAACAACGTTTGCTCGGCGGGCGTCAACTACACCCCCAACCTCACCAAGGACGTGTCCATCTCCACCATCTCCAACACAACGTCGGTGCAGCTGAGAGCCTCTGAGAGCAAAATGGTGGACCACAAGAAGACCTACAACAGCGTCAGCAAGATCGACAAGATGTCTCGAATAGTGTTCCCCGTCCTCTTTGGAACCTTCAACCTCGTCTACTGGGCCACGTACCTGAACAGAGAACCAGTGGTGAAAGGAGCCGTTGCTTCAACATAATCACTTTTTTCTTGAAACTGAGTTTGCGTAAGAGAGAAAGGGGAGGGTTTGAAGCTAAGTGACCTAGAAAAGTAAAATCAAACATCTGAGCTTGAAGAACAAAAACTATACCCAGCTATTTAATTCAGGCACTATCAACGATGCAAGGCTGCAACAGAAACCCTTTCCTGTTCTAATGGCCTAAAAAAACTGCTTGATAATGAGGAAACTGCTTCAGAAAAACAGGAGAGCAGGATGCTTTGCTTCTTTCTCATCTACCCTGCTGCAGTTTGCATGACGTTTTCCGAAACCGGAAAAATACCGACTCCTCTTTGTCTTGAATACCGACCATGTATATGTCAATCATTGCTTAAAGTACAGGAGTACACATAGTTTGCATTGGAATTTAATATAGATATATATAGTTTACTTTC